TTTAAAATTAAAAACCAACATTTGAAACATCAATTTGAATACTTTTCGAAGTGAATTTGAAAAACTCATGTATTGAACTCAACCTTATTTTGTTCAAACTTGCATTTGCCGTAATAACCCAAATTGAAGAACATTCCCCATTGCCTAGTTTAGGTCCCGGCACACTTATATAGGTTAGGTTTAGCAACTGTTTTAATTTAATTTTCAAATATTCTCAATTTAATATTAGTACTAGTAATTAAAGTTTAGTTTATAAAGTAGGTTAGGTTGGGTTATATTTTAATATGCGCCCTTGCAGTTGACATTTTGACTTTTGGTTTTGGTTCGCAATTATCAAAATAAACTATGGAAAGCTGTAGCGATAGTGAGTTTGAAAATTTGCCTTACGAAATATCTACTGCAGCAGCTGCTGCAATTAGACAAGTCATTTACAAACAAAATCAAAATTGCCAAGATTATGAATTATCACATGAAAACAATCAATGTGAAACGAAAACGTTAGCTTTTTATTCTGACTTCAACAAAGAGCATTTGAATATACCAAACATTACAGACAAATTACATTCCTTCAATATGAGATCAAATGAGAATTAGAATATTTCTGTTAGTAGCTACCTAACTATCTTCTGTTCGAATTTCAATATTCAATACAAATGAAATTAAAATGTTCCAAATTTTGTTCTACAAATAAAAAGAAATGTGTGTCATTGATTTGTTATTCTACGTCTACGTCAATATGCATTGAAAAAAAAGAACAATGATATCACTCTAGTGATTCCCACAGTAGGAAAACTTTATATCAATTTGAGAACTGGGAATCATTATTTTGGAAATATCAATAAAATTTATGATACAAGTTCAATTATCTGGATAGCCCATATGTGGTTTAGGTCATATTCAAATTTAATTGAACCTTATCACCAAAACGAATGTAAACAATACAAGAGAAACATATTTTTCAACATATTCCCAAAGTAGGAATGTGATAAGTAATCTAATCGTCAGTGGGCTTCCAATATTAACCTATATACAGTTGGGTCGACGAAAGAATCCACATGCGTCATCAATTTTTGCATCTTATATTATTCGAAAACTAATGAAAATGAGTTGATATGGCTACTGCTCTGAACAACATGATTGCATTTATTTTTGAAATTCACTCATAGTCAAAACGCAATCTTATGATTTTCGCAATTAGTTTTTTATAATAAACATTTATCCATTCCCAAATAACTACAATGGTAGATACATTTATTATTTATTCTGTGGAAACATATTTATATTCCGTTTTCCAACTACAATATCAGAGTTTGCGAAACATTTGACAAATCTATTCCCAATTTAAGGTTAGATTTTATAATTATGATATAAAATTTAGAAATATGAACCCCTGTTGAGCTAGAATAACCATTTAGAATTTTCATATCTATTCTTAGTCCATTAATATGAAGAAGTGACCGACAATTGATGAAAACTCATTATAACAGAAAAAACATTTTGTTGAAGCAAGCCAAGTCCTAATTTTAGGTTCTTATTGCCAAATTCGTCGATTTTCTGAATGTTGTTTTTTGAAAAAAATCAGTGGATTGTGCTAGCTTTAGCGTTAAGCTGGCAAAACCAAATCGAATTCCTTCACTTTTTGGAAATTTTTAACTTGCAATAATTTTAGGCACATTCGTTACGCCACTGAACAATGTGTTGCTTCCCGTTTGAATTGGGTAATGCACTCAGACACACGGTAGATGAGGAAATAATTGTATGGAAATGTTCATTAAATATGAGACAGATTTTAGGCCCCTATTCAGATGAAGGCTCCTTCATTATACTATTGAACAATTTTTTGCTTCGAGTTTCAACAAAAAAAATCACATTACCATCACATTATCTCCACAAAATATTAAGCTACGTTCATACAAAATCCCATTTGCTAACACGGAATGAGGAAATTCACTCTCATTAAACGAGACGGATAAACGACTTCCACCAGGAAAAAATGAACGTAACGTATATAGTCGAAGTAAACGATATTGTTCACATTAAAATGTGACGGCACTCTCAAAGGCCAAGAAAACCAATACATAGAAACGAACCGGTAGCGAAATAGTCCACGCGGACTGTAGACTTGGCGGTTCGTATTGGATAATTTTTACTAATCTAGTTTTATGATTGGCTGAAGAGTAATAAAATTAAATTTGAAGTCATGTTACGGTGACGAATAGAAATCGGGGAAGGTTATCGCCGTCGTGTTCAGTTCAGGAACTGATCGCGATTTGAGTATTGAAATTCGATATTGGTGCAGTTATAATAACTCAACATTTTTATTATCTGTTTAAAATGTGGCGTCCTTAAAAAAGTACTAATAATAGTAATAACGAGTGTGATAACAACGCAGACTTTTTCCAGTGTAGTGATTTCAATAGCGAAAAAGAGTGAACAATGCGAAAAAGAGATACCAGTGAATTTTACAATTCCTATGCGATGGATTTCACTTTGAAGCATCCATAATGAATCTCTGGAAATCACTTTTACTCGAAACATGATAACATCATAAATTTTCTTTCAAATCAGATTTTTCAATGTACGCAATAGTCAATCGGTTGTTAAAGTTAAACACTATTTACTTTCCAGTTAAAGTTTGCGTGCTAATTGAAAACATTCACTTCATAAGTACCTACCTTCTAACTCGTCCTGAAGTAATTGTCCCAGTTTGTCCTAAATATTATTTAAGGCGGATTTCCACCAAACGGACATAATCACAACGTAACAGCAACTGTGTCGATTTCGACAAAAAAAACCTGAGATGTCAAAATAAGAAACATTTTGAAGACTTGGGCCGCACTACTGTTAAACCGCCGCGGATTTTAAGCGCCTGATTTTGTGAGTAAAGGATAATGGAAGCTACTGCACTGACGGTTTTTCCCGCGACTGATTTTAAAACCGCGACTTGTCACAAAATGGCTAGCGGGACAGTCTCAAGTCTCTTCCTAGATTAGACAAGCTGTAATGTGTGGACGTACAATATACAAACGATATAGTAGTTGAAAAATTTCTCAGGATGTTTTCTTAAATATGGATACCTTTTTATAAAAGAAACTCTTAAATCTTCGGCTAGTCAGTGGATGGACCTAATATTTGCGAAATGTAGCTCTCTTGAAATCCATCTTCAAATTAAAAATCGTTGCCAGTTTCGCGGTTTTTAACTGCAGTGTGTGCGACTCGAGCCATTTTGCGGTTTGGCGGTTTAGCACTGGCGGGAAAAAACCGTAGTGCGGCCTTAGCCTTAGTTTTGCGGACGATTGTTTTTGTCAACAACGAAATGTCCCGTCGGTAGTCGGGAAGATAGAAAGGTTTCGGTGTTTTGCCTGTTTTTATAAACAGAGTTTGCTTTGTGGAAAAGGTCGACGACAAAAACAAACAACTATTCAGTTCACTATTTTATTTTAATGTGTGACTTCACGTGACATTATTACTTTATTTAAAGTGTTAATCTGTGATGGGTTTAAGTTTCGTTAACCCCAGTTCTCCATTCATTTCTATATCATCATTTATCGAATCTGCCATAATTTTATCCGTTCCATAATCTATTCGTCTTCTCAACAATAATCTCATCTAGTATCTTCGTTTTTTTTGCTTCTTTCACTCAAAAGATTTGATTACAAAAAAATCGCAGGTCATTATAAAAACATCGTCTAGAGAAAGCATAATGGAAACTGTCCGTATAGTGGCAACGACAGAAAACATTTCACAACAAAACACGCGACTCAGGCTAATTTTCATCTGTTTGGTGGATTTCGATTTTGTTTTTGAAACTACAAGTTTGTTGTTTCTGTTTTTGAAAACGAAACTAGTCGCAAGCGAGTCCGTTTGATGGAAAACCGCCTTTATGGTAATTCTCTAATAAATATGTAAATGTATGAATGGATTTTATATTATTTTACAAAGTCTGTCTTCTGCATTAATAATGATGAGTTGAAAAAATCATTATTCCACAATATCCGAGTAGGAAATCAAAGCACATTATTCAGATATTCATGTCAGATGTTTCGAGAAGGAATGTGTACTTTTTAAACAGAGAGAAATGTTTTGCCCCAGGTCAAGACAGCAAGATAAGAAAGTCTACATATATGAAGTCATCTACAAATACTTATAAATACAGAACTACTACCATTTTGAACTCAATCAGTTGATTAGAGAAATAAATACAAGAGCCTACTGGATATACCCAGGATCTTAACTAGATTAGAGGGCGGTTTTTCAAACAGTTTTCGGAGAAGTGGGATGAGAGAAGATAAAACTACCAAATAATGAGAGTGTGAATTTTCACGGCCTGAGATAACTGTGTCAATGGCGTTTTTCGTTTTTTTTGGCCGTGGACCGGAGGTTTTTATGCCTGACGTTTCGTCTACTTCTGCGGTAGCCATCAAAGACAGTAACTGTCGAAGTGCTGGAGCACTTTGATAATGCGTTTGATAATGTATACCTAAGAAATAGACGAAACTTCACGCATAAATACCTACAGACCACGGCTATAAAATCCAGAAAATATTTTTACATCATAAAAAATAATAGCTAGTTAATTGACAAAACACAAGATTTTGTACCATCTAGTAGATGGATAATTAACAGAAGGTACATTTATTATCTTGTTTTCGAGCAAAAACAAATTCCAAAAGACGAAATAGTTCGTAGATTTCACAATAGAAGTCTGTAATTTAGGCACAACAGTAATTCCTAATGTATCTAATTGATGTATCTCTGTTGCATGTCCGACTGAAAAGTACTTACTTCACACTAAATTTTTCAAAAGATGTCTCTTAAGGAGGCCAGCGCAAGCATATCCTGCGACAAGCATAACTACTTACATATAAAAAACTAAAACACGGAACAGGAAACTGTGATTCTGTAACATGTAATTGCGTATGTACATTATAATCTAACGGACGAGAGATGATCCCAATGATAATTCAATAACTTCCTCTGTCATTAAATAACATTCTCACCTATGGGTAAATCGCAAATCAAGCAACAGGCTGCGATTGCACCAGCTGAAGCACCGGAGATTTTGTCCAGTAGCAAATGGGGAGCGTATTTTCGAAAACAACATGCCACTCCAACATGGTAGATGCCCAAAAAACCGCAGCCAGCGAATGACAAATTCATTTTGTTTCGACAATTAAACTAATATCACAACAATATCACTTGGAAGTACTTCTATCACAAGGATTTCTCTTAATTACTATTGGTTGTCACTTTTGCGTAAATCGTAATAGTTAATTTCGTACAGCTCTCGAATACTTATACTTCGATGTTATCGTTCGACTGAATGAAAATTGCCTTGCGCTCTCGTAAGTCTTTGCTTGACTGATTACCCTCTCCATTCCAATCAGATATGGGGCGCCGTTGCCAAATTTATCATATTTCTGTGAGTATCCTTTTTCTGAATGTTGATCCATAACAAATTTTCCACATAGTAATACTTAACGATGAGATTGGAACTTTTGGTGTGAAAGTTGGATAACTTTTTTCGAAATCAAAAATATCAGTTTGGTGTTAGGGCAATTGATCTCGAAAAAAGTTATCCATAGTAATACTTGTTTAAAATGAATAATGAATATATGATTTGTCGATCAATATGTATGAATACTGTTTTTTAACTTGTTAAAATTAATAAGATAAAGTGAGCAGGTATTTGTTAGCAAACCCTTAACAAAACATCAATAAAAAAGGGGCATATTTTTTGAAGAGGTTAATTTTTTGGGAAAGGAATGCTTTGACTTTCTACTTCTCCATCTTCTAAAGGCTGCAATCTTACCCTTTTTCTTCTGAAAACAATGGAGAAAGATTATTTTTCAATATGTGAAGCTAATATTTAACAGATATACTGAATTGGCCACCATCAATGAAATATCTCATTGTGCCTTCATTGATGTAGACTGTAGAGAGTGCTTTTGACAAAACTTCTAGTAGATTTACCCTTAGATCAGTCACTATGGGCAAATATATACTGTTCACCGATTAGATGAATAAACTAATCTCGGAGGGCAAATAGTCAGAGATCGTAGAAAAGGTTTGTACGACTCAGGGAAACTTCTGAGGTCACATAAAGTTTCTGATGTTATAGTAGCCTACGAACTAATTTGAGGTGAAGTTTAGGCAGAAACTACGTCTTTTCAATTAACAAATGATCCTTATTAGTGTTATGAAATCTATTCTTGGGCAACGATAACCAAATTTCTATCATCAAAAGATGACCTAACTAATTCAACCTATATTTATATATGTGGGTTGACTTACGTCCGTTCTTCGTAACAAGATTACCAGAATAATTATCACCCAATAGGGGTTGGGTCCATCACATAATAAAAATCATAACTCATAAGGTCTTTGTTTTTTTGAAGGTGATTGACAATGTTTCGTGATGAATTTCACTAGTTCGGACTTCCATTGTCTATTATATAAAATGATTTGAAATCCCTGAAACAAGTAAAAAAAAATAATTAAAAAAGAATAGTTGAAATTAACAATTATATTAAGTGGTTATTTTACTATCATTTCATTTCAGGTTTATTGTTGCTTAATATAATTGTTATTTTCAACTATTCTTTTTTAATTATTCTTTTTTACTTGTTTCAGGGATTTCAAATCATTTTATATAATAGACAATGGAAGTCCGAACTAGTGAAATTCGTCTTTGTTTTTGTTTATTTTTTACAATTGGCGATACTTCACCAGAATATAAATGAACATCAGTTAAATTTTGAAAACTATAGTTATTGTCTCCTGTTATGAAAACAGGTTTCGAAGTTTGGCATTTTTTATAAATGAGAAAATCAATTCAATAACATTTATTCTACCTCTGAGGTTGAAATAATTATTCCATATATCTCGGACGACTTTGAAACTTGGCAACGGGGTAGCATCGAAAACGTCAGGGAAAGAGCAGATGACCTTACCACGTGTATAACATGAGTATTGTTTTCTTGCATGTTTATGCAAGATACAGGAATAGTTGTGACGTAGTATGACGTGATTGGTTGAAATTGGTGGTGTGGTCCTCATCTGCCAATCTAAGGTGAGAACTAAAAGGGCCTGGTCCCATTGTAGTTAATTTACAATGGTCACTTCTAATTATGTGTGGAATTCTGACGGCAGGTAGATATAATAATAATAGGGGTTAGTCCCTACACTAACAGAAAGAGAAACGATAATTGTTTGATATTGAGTACCGTTACTAGTTAGTAGAACGGTTTGTGGTAAAATAATCAATTGTGAAAGTATCTTCAGGCATGATGCAGATTTTTAATAGGTGTGTCTTTAGGTAGGTATTTGCGGCTGAAAAAAACAATTTATTAGAAACAGGATAACCATCGAACCACAAATTAATTTGCTAATGATGGGTATTGATCCAAAATAAAAATAGTAATACCTATTAGGTACTTGGTATTTATAGTTCAATATGCGGATTAATAACGACTTTTATTTATCTGGTAAATGGATGAAAATTATTTTAATGAAATTTAGTTTGTTAGAAATGAATCGCGAACGAGTTGGCTTGAAAATCCCTTACCAGACAATGAATAATTCAAAAATGATTTTTTTCAAACATGAGATACAGTCATTTGTTTAATGAACTAACTTTATACCTTGGCAGGCTTTACAGGTAAGTCGTTACTAGAATTTACATCCATAAGAAATTATCACCAGATGAAATTCAAAAAAATATTTGGGATAACATAAAAAAAATCGAATTGGGAAAAAAGATATGAATAATTTTTAATTAACGTTCCAAATTCAATTTTGTTAGACTTGTACAGAGTAGGCCATATTGGACACTTTTAAAGGGAAACTCCTGTTTCCAAGCTAGATATACGAAAACTGATGGTTGTGTCTGGCAGTCAAATTTTATGACAAAGTCAACGGTGAAAACCGCATATCGATATCTATAATCGTTTCTGAGTTACAGCATGTTTTTCGAAAATGTGCATTTTCGAATATTTTAATTTCTCGTTAGCGGCGTCCTCAAGGGGCATAACGGGTATAAATATCTCGGTGACTTTGTGGATGAATTGCAGTGCCACTTGCTTGAGACGACTATTTTCCTGTCTTTGATGTACTGGCATCAGAGTATCAGAGTATTCTTGAAAATATTTCTTTCAGACAATACCGAATGTACTATAAAGTTACGAAAAAAATCAATTTATTAACAATTGCATCGGTTTCCAATTTGTATCGTACCTACTATTGATTAATTTCTTTCAAAAGTCGATGTAATTTTTTAAAATAATTTTTCGCAATCCATATTATTGACTATACTGAAAATATCACTGTTTAGAATGATAAATAAAGTAATCGTATCAGTTTTTAATAAAATAACATAAATGAATCAGAAAAACCTAAAAGGCTCCCCACGGAATGCAGGTGGATATCTGCTATCATATAAAAATATTTTGATAAGCCTTTTCAATAATAATCTGATTTCCAATGCTTTATTTATCTCAAATGAATTTTTATCACCATCTTATAAATAAAATTATTGTGAGGGTGGAATGTCACTTATATATATGTCGTATGGCCATCGGAATTTGATAGATGATATACCGCTAGAAACGGTCCAAAAATAATGTTTTCAGTTAGAATCAAAATGACCATTCCACTAATAAGGTCTAATCTTTTGACGTGTGATTCCTAACACCAGTTGGACAATAGGAAGTGAAAATCGATCCGAGGTCTACTTTAAATACAAAAACGTTTAATTTTATGGATCTTGAATTTGCTTTCGAGCAACAAAGATAAGGATTTGTCCGTTTACGACCGTTTATGACTTGGGATGATCGTCATAACTAATCTCCTATAACAAATATAAACAGTCAATTACTGATCAATACATTTTCAGATGTAGCGATTATTGTCCCAGGAAAAACTTAAACATATTTGTTTCAAATAGTAGTATAAACATGTTTTTGTAAAACATATATTTTCAAGAATATATAGTCTACAATTTTTCCAATAATTGCTATCTGGAAAAGTATACGAAATATGGATTTATTTAATGAGGAGTAGGAGTTGCGAAATTTTTTGTAAATATCCCAAAAGTGATTCGAAGGAGAGAACAAAAATTTTGACGAAAGCATATGTCCATAAAGAGTAATTATGAACATTTGCAGGTAATTGAGTGAAATTTGCCGCCAATGCCCCGCCTCTGGATTTTCAATAAAAGTTACACTTAACAAGTTGACGATTTATGTCGATAATACAACTCAAACGTTACAAAAATTGTTACAGCTATATAACATAAAGTAAGGTAAAGCGAGTCAAGTGCAGACATGAGACAGATGGATAAGTTAGTTATGAATTATGATCTTGAAATAAAAAGCTGGATGCAATCTAGTGGCTAGGTTGAATTGGGTTATGTCCAAAGTGAGTGGGTCTATTCGACCCTCCACCGCAACCCGCAATGGTTTATTGTGGCTCACACCTGTTCACACTCGACCAAATGAACCCAGCTTCTTAAAGAAGCTGATTAGTTTGTATGGTGAGTGGTTTTTCAAGTCAGATGGTGAGAGAACGGTTCTGCCGAACTCTAAAAACCTGATGTGGTCCCCAGCGGGGCAGGCACAAAGTATGTGCTCTACTGTTTCATTATTTTCTAAACAGAGGCGACACACACTGTCTTCCGACAGTCTGAGTCTCTGCATATGATGGTTCAAATGACGGTGACCTGTCAGAAGGCCTGCTAGACATTGTAGTTCATCCCTACTGTAGTCCAGCTTGGTATCAAGCTTCGAAGGGTGAATAAACGCCTTAGAGTGAGCCAATCAAGTGGCTAAGTTTGGAACTAAAATCCAGTTTACACTCATCTACCAACCACCATTAGTAACCTCTGGAAGATTGCAAATTTCAAAGTTACATGGTAATTCTACAAATCTCTGTCACATTTTGAAAATTTGAAACGGTGAAATGGTCGCTGTGAAACATGCTTCGGTGAAATAGAAGGCAGTTCAAGCATTTTTCTGGCCCATTGGGCACTAACCCCGTTCTGACGTGTGGGTGTGTTAGTCAGACTTGAAAAGTTGCATTATAAGCATAAGGACGGATTTTAACCAAAACGGACAAAACTACAACAAAATAGCAACAGTGTCGATTTCGACAAAACAAAAACTTGAGTTGTCAAAATAAGGAACATTTTCAAAGGGTTTCAGTTTCTGTAAACAGAGTTTACTTTGTGAAAGCAGTCGGTGACAACAACAGTCAACTATTCAGTTCACTATTTTGTTTTGGTGTGTGATTACATGTGACATTATTACTTTATTGAAACTGTTAATCTGTGGTGGATATAAATTTTG